AAGATAACAAGAAGAGAACTCACCCGATAGATCTTGCTAAAAATACTAATCCAAGAATGCTATCAACAAAATAAGTTAACAGTATATAGTTCAAAACATTAAAACAATTCAACACTTGAAATTTTGTGAAGGCTTGCAACGGTTAGAGCTCTCTCAATCGACAGCACACTAACGGTAAGATAAACAGAAATAACTAGTTGTTGTTTTTACATTTCAAAATTTTTATAACAAAATAATTAACACATATATTGTATTTTGAAATAATCATAATAAATTTATAATAATAGTCACATAAGCCACATGAAAGGACTTAATTTGAAGAAATCAATACGTTGATTTATTAAATAATTCAAAATTGTAAAAATCTAATACTTGATGAGAAAATGTAGACAAGGGTAATGAGGAGTTTGAAGAGGAATTTAGCCAGAGTAGGTTTATGAGCAAGTTGAGAATTGATAAAGAGAGTGAGAGATTGTTATGTGTAAATTAAATTTTATTTAAAAAATTAAAAATCTAAAAATTAGTATTTAATATTTGGACTTCATACATTCAATTACATTTAAATAGGATATAACAAACCTATTTAATATTAAACTACTAGATATTACCCGTGTCTAAAGACATTGTGTAACACAAGAATTATACCAAAATTTTCTTCCTCACATTAAATTCTAGTGATAACCTATATATTGCACGACATTAACAATCTATCTCCCAATCTGTTCATCAATTTTCTAAATCCCACTCCAAAAAGACCCACAAAATATCCAATTCAAAATCACAGGAATAGGTCTATATCAAATTTCAAAGGACTTTAGCACATTACTATCATATCCTTATTGCTCGATTTGGTAAGATGGATGGAAAGTTGGAAGGATAGAAAGTAGGAGTGATACATTTTCTATCCTTCAAGGAAGAAAAGTAGGAATAATACACTTTCCTTCTTTTGTGTTTGGTTGGATGGATGAAAAATAATTTTTTTATAATTTTTTTTTTGTACTGACTAAGATTACGAGTGACAATCGAGTTGTGTCGTGTCAAATTCATGTTGAGTCATAAAATTATAAGTTTTTAATATTTCTTTTTAGTGTGTCAAGTCATTTTCAAGATTGTGTCAAGTTATAATCAAGTTCGTATCATAAAATTCGTGTCGAGTTTGAGTTATGTCATCGTGTTAAGTTGAAAATTTTCACCCCTAATTAAGATGAAAAAAAAATTTAATTTTAATTTTAATTTTTTAATTTTTTTAATTTTTTTTAATTTTTTTTAAAATTTTTAATTTTATTTTAAATATATATACATATTTTATCATTGTATACATAATATATAGACAAATAAGATACATCTCAATACAAATAATTAACTTTTCATCTACTTTCTTTCTGATTTTGGTGAGTTGGAAGGAAAGTTAATCCATTCATTTTTTCATCCTTCCTATTTTTCATCCTTACCAAATATGATGTTTTATTTATTCCTCCAACTTTGCATCTTTCTATTTTTCCATCATACCAAATGGAACATATGTGTATCTCCAAATTACCCCTAACATTTCTTTCAATTCTCTATTCTCTAAGTATAAATATCCATATCTATAAAACTTTTTAATTACCTATATTACCCTTAAAAAATATGCATGGATTAAATATGAACAATTATTGTTATTTTATTCAATGAATTATAAGTTGAAACCTAATGAAATGAATTTCAAAATAAATTAATTTTGTCTTTTTCTCTTATAGTTAGTACAACAAATCGTTGATAACAGACAATTTTTTTCGAATTCTAGTATAATACAAGTGATAAAAACATAAATTTTTATAAACTTGAGATAATATTTAATTATATTATATACGAAAATTATTTACGTGAAACACACGTGGTGCATACCTACTTAGATATATAAAAGGACATCAAAATCAAAAGAATCAAATAGAGCATTAAGAAACTACAAAGACAATCAGTTAAATTCATAAACCAAATAGCCCATTACACTAAAATATGCCACAGAAACTAGAATACTATGCAAACATATACAACTTCAGTTGCATTTTCTCCATCAAAAATCAATTGAATTATGCAACTATCGCTTCACCTAACTTAACTGAGTGTGTGCTTGTGTGGGAAATCAGAGAGGAGGGCGAGAGAATAGGAAAAGGATGAAAAGTACCTGGAGGCTGAGGTGGTGGAACACTGCGGCGGTGGTATGTGTGTGTGTGTGAGTGAGTGAGAGGAAGGAGAGAGAGAGAGAGAGGTGGGAGTGATGGGGAGAGTGGAAGAGTGAGAGTGGTGTGGTATATGAGAGACCCTGAGACAGTGAAAGATAGAGATGTGCAAGAGATTGGAGAGACCGGAAGAGTGACGTGTGAGAGGTGAGAGTGTTAAGAATGATAATGTATCATAAAATATTAATTTGATTTTACTATGTATTGACTCGTAATTTCCCACTTATTTTAGAGGAACATTTGGCATAGTAATCAAAGAAAAAAAATATATGCAACGCTAGAGCTGTCAAGGGGTCGTATCATGAATTCGGAGCAAAGAGGCAAGAAGGGCAATGGGAGACCAACTGGCCCTACATTTGTTTTTTTCTGTCTCACTGAATGAGAGCACAGCATAAATGTCATGCATGCATGATTTACATGGATAACTGCTTATATTTAAATGGATATGGACCGTCTACTGCCGGGTTATAGATGGAGATTGTATCATCCTATGCTCCTCTGGTTCACCGACCTTCTCCTACTCCAAACTTGAGGTGAGGTATATGAATTCTTCCTTGGTCAAGGATCAAATTATTTTGTTACTTGTATGATCAACCAATCACAACCACATGATCAAAGTATTGAGGTGAGGGCCCACCACAATATTTCAACCTTTTGAAGCCTTATAAGTGACACAGATGGTAATGAACTCACCCCTTTTTTTTTTTTTTTGGCATAGAATAACTAGAATCACTCGCCCTAGGTAATGAACTCACATGGGAAGACTACGTTACTCAATTTAGTACCGAAAAATTATAAATTTCAATTCGGTATTAAATCGAAATATATATAGGTTAAGGTATAATTTTTTAAAATAAAAATTTTAATTGTAAAAAATATAATTAATTCTAAAAAGTTTTGATCAATCAAAGAAATTATAATTTTTAAATATAAAATTTTAAAGGTTAAATTATAACTTTTAAAATTGAAATTACAACTAATTAAGGGTGAATATTTATGATCGATCATAAAATATTATGATTGATCGTAAATTATTTCAAACAATTATAACTTTATCTTTAAACAATATAACTTGGCCTTAAAAAAAATTTAATAAGTTTTTCAATTTTTTTAATCATAATATTTTATGATTGATTATGAATTATTTTAGGTTAAAAAATATAATTTAACCTCAAAGAATAATAATTTTTAATAGGTTACCCATTTTTTATGACACCGTAGAGAACTTGACCATGGTACTGAAATTTAGCATATTTGTGGTAATTTTTACTAAACTTATGGGTAGTTTATTACTGTTGTGATACTGAAAAAAATAGTAAAAATAGTTATCATAATAATAATAAAAATACTCACAAATACAATAAAAACATGCTCAAATATGGTAAATTACTCACAAAAATGCTAATTTTTTTTATATTTAAGAAAAGTGGCAAAAATAGTTATCACAATACTCACAATAGTGATAAAAACACTTATAAAAGTGATATATCAATTACAAAAATAATAAATTTTTTATTTATAAAATAACCCATAAAAATTATAACAATACTCTATTATGTACTCCCTCCGTTCCTAAATATCTGTCGTTTTACATAATTTTTTTTGTTCTATAATATCTGTCGTTTAATAAAATTAAAGCATAATTAATATTTTTTTTCTTCTAAATTTACCCTTAACTTTTCAATGCATTAGATTAAATGGGGGATAAGTGTCTTTCATATTTCTTTTTTTCTCAATATATATTGAATAAGAGTATTTTATTCTTGTGCAATTATTTTTTACTTATATTAGATTTATTTAATAATTTTTTTAATTTTTGTGCAAAAATCTTAACGATAGATATTTAAGAACGGAGCGAGTAATAAATTTAAAAAATGTGGTCTCAAATATTATTTTTTTATTCCGTACAGTAGTCTAAGTCCCACCGTAGAATTACCATCAACTCACCTAACGGCATTAATGAGGCCAAGGACTACAAAGCTGTGGAAAACCCAACGACCTCGGTTGAGCAAGGGCACGCTACTCTGTTGAGTAAGAGGGACTAAATCACACTTATACGCGCCTCAGAGCTCGTGGATTGCTGTCACCTCAAATTAATGACCATGCCATGCTATGTTTTATTATTTTCATGTAGACGAAGTGCAAGGTTGTTTATCGGAGACGAAAAGAGTTGAAAATTTAGACATCTTAAGTTTAGTGAAGATGATCTATTTTTTGTTAGGTCGGAGAAAAAATTAGTTGAAATATGTATGAGCTGACTTGAACACTCTTGGTCGTAATACTAAAAAATAAAAAAAAATTAATAGTTCAATTTGCATATGCATAATTAAATTGGTCTAGATTCAATTACAACATGTATTGATACGCTAATTTAGTTAAGACCCATAAACCATATTGAACAAAAAAATTTCTTTTGAATTTCATATCAAAGTTGATAAATTATATTAAAAATTGATAATTTCTACATATGGGAATTATAATATAAATTTTGACATTCAATTTTTTTAATTTATCATATTATTATATGTAAAATATATTAATATTAAAATATAATACATTAGTTATAACTAACAAGCGTAAGATAAGAATATGTAGGATTGTCTTTTGATAGAGATTGACTATATGTAGGATAATTAATTATCCAAGCATAATTAATTAAAAATATTAATCATTTTATTTATTTATAGCAACTACATAACTTGAGCAAACTGGTAGACTAGAATAAATTATGCGCGTGGTGGTGTAAATGCTCAGGAAGAAGAACGTTACATTGGTCGTCTCATCTCTCTCTCTCTCTCTCGTTAATGAAAAAGCTGCACGTAGGCAAGAGAATACATAAATAAACCGTGAGAATACGAACCGACATTTTTAACACCTTCAGAAACTAAACACTTCCAAATCTCTCTTGTATGAAAAACCCATGCCCTAGATCCATGCCTTCCATTAACTGTACTCTCCGGACTCTTAACTCACTTTCAGTGGACAGAGTCTAACCGACACACATGAAAGAGTCATTTCAAGGTACTCTGTATTGAACCCCACTCATTTTTTCCTTGCAATTCTCCCTGATTTATGGTTATGTATTAATTGTGAATAAGAAATAATGAGTTTGTTTAATTTGTTCCGTATGGTAGAGAATTGCTGATGCATGAATTTGGTTGAGTTGAATGTTGGGTTAAAGCTTGTTTCTTAGGTCGGATATTGGTTGTGATGAACAGGGAAAAAGAAGAAGAATTTTTTGGTTTCTGAATTAGTTTGTTTCATTTATTTCACATGATAAATTGGTGATGTATGTATGAGTTGGGGGAGTGGCATATTGTGCTAGAAGTTGGGTTGTTGGTTGGGTTTTGATTTTCATGAACACGGCAGAAGAGGAACTTCTGGAAATGGGCGGTTATATGGGTGTCAAAATTTGATTTTGGGAGGTGGGATTTACTGGATTTTTGTTGTTTCGGTCTATAATGGGCGGTTTTTGCTGTAAGCCCTCTGCGATTGAAGACAGTAGGCAGAGTCCGATAGAGAGGTTATCGAGTAAGAACCCCTCGGATTTGCGGGTGCCGAGGGCGATTTCGTCAAGGAGAGATGAAAATTATAGAGTGAAGGATGGTTCGGAGAGTAATGATGGGAGGACATTGTTGATTGATAAAAATGCGAATGGTTCGGCTCGGTTACATGGTGAGAAGTTTGAGAGAAAACGGGAGAACACTGATTATATTGTGGCCACACACCATCCTGGTATGGGCAGCATCCCAAAAGCTGCTGAAGGGGAACAGGTTGCGTCGGGGTGGCCCCCGTGGCTGGCTGCAGTTGCTGGCGAAGCTATCAGAGGATGGTTACCAAGACGGGCGGATTCTTTCGAGAAGCTGGATAAAGTATGCTTTTTTCTTGACATACTGTAACCTTACATTTCTTATCTCAAGAGTATGCACTTATTTGTTAGTAGGAATTCAGAAATAGTTGTCTTGTTTACTTTATTGATAATCTTTCATTTTAGTATATTTTCTCTTAGACATTCCATGATTCCAATTGGTAATTAATTTTCCAAATGCAACATATAACATCATAGCTCATTACTAAATGTATTCTGTTGATCAAAGAAATAAAATTGTATTCACTGATGATGCAATTAGTAGTGATGTTGGTTCAGAAGGAACTTTGACTTTGATGTACGATAAGTTCAGTATCTTACAGTGCACTGTTATGTTGGCATTAACTAACTAGTTGTTAATTTTTAGAGATCATCAGTCGACATCTTTTAACAATTTTGGACAATTTCAACAATATTGTAAAATAGTTATTTTGATATCTAAGTCAAATAAATGCCATGATGCCATAATCCACAATATTGCCCAACTAGTATTTTTGAATGGTCAAAATGTCCCAGATTATTTGTGTTGGTATGTTTAAGCTACTTCATCAATATAAAATGAGCAAAATAAAGTATGGGATTAGTCCAACATCATGATTGCATGAAATATGCCATTCAGAATGTCTTTTATTTGTTCAGAAGTTCTCCTTTCCATGAGGCTTCACAACTTTAAACCAAAACTTCTCTGACTACATGCCCTATTTTCGTGGAACCTCCAAATCAGATATCCCAGCGTTGCTTTTTAGTGTATTTTTCTTCTCCCCCCAACTATTTCCAGAATCCTAATTTTATATAAACTCCCCTATAGGAGCAGGTCTCCCGTGGCCATGAAAATCCGTTCCAATATTTTATAGCTTCATGTCATTGACATAGTACTGCAAGTACAAAACTCAGACAGATTACGTGATGTACGGCCAATGAGACTGAGAGTTATCCTACTCCTTCCACTGATTAAAACTTTCCAGTAAACAGCTAGCTTATGATTTCGACATTATGTGTGACAACAGCCCAAGTGAAGTGAACTCTTTCGCAAGTCAAGGTCTTGCTTTAAAGCAGGAAGTCTCAAATGTAAGTCACCTCAACTGGGCACAGGATGCCCAATAAGGTGAGGATCCTATTTGCTTGCAAATTGCAATAAATGGTAGTTTTTTTAGACCATCCAATGTCATACCAATCTCCTAGTTCCTGAGGTGTTGCTGTGAGGTTGTAGTAACCTAGCAAGTTTATCATGTAAATTACAATCTGCCAGATTGAAGGTTTTTTGTTCTCCTTTTTTGGAATCACTTGAGTATTTAACTAAAGCAGTCTAACATCTATCAATTAGCTGGAATAGGAAACTCACCACAATGGGATTGTTCAACGGATTTAGAACCCCAATTTTATCCCGAAAAGAACTTGGAAGTTTGGACCAACATGATTGAAAATCCATACAAATTATGTGTTACTTGAAATGCCCAGAATCATATTTTTTTTGTCAATTCTACTTATTTAGTGATATAAGGACTAAAATTTAAACTCTACATGTGCCACATAAACTTTGATCCTGAGAAACATCTCACAACCCACTGCTATGTACCTGCTCAGATACTCTGGGAAATTGGTGTTAATTATGTGCACGCGTACTCGTTGGAAAGTCAAAACACTGGATACCTATGTTGTATGATATTTTCTATTGTCAACCTGAGAAGCATATGAAACCAGAGGGATTTGTTATAATGTGTCTTAGAAGCCCCTTTTTTTATATGTAAGATTGCTCGTATATTCTTTTCTTCTTATTCTTGAAATGTTTGAATAAACACTACGTATCTTTACCTGAAAAAGAAAGGATGGATTCATCTGGCTGATTTAGTCTTTTAATATGTTTAAGCACAAGAAAGGTTAGAGCCAAAAAGAATAAAAATGAATGGGATATAGATCAAAGCAAGGGCATGAGATGTCTTTAAAACTTGGCAAAGTGAATCATGTGAAGCTGTATAAACCTTCTTAGTTATTAACAGTTGTCAATTATAATTTGTCTTTGGACATTTTCTCCCCTGAAGGTTATTGTCTACGTATACACTAAATTTGCAGATCTTTTGTATAAAAAATAAGTGCACAAGCACTTTGGCACCTGCATGTGACTAATAAACAGTCTATAGCCTCTTTAAGGAGGGTTGTGTTATCTGTCGAATACTTGGGTAGTTTCTTTGGCAGTTTTTATTTCCCACTGATGGATTCCAACAAAGTAGATAATGCATTTTGCAAGTTAGAATAAGGATCAGATTGTTCAATAGATTAGAGGCGATGGCGATACTACTATATGAATGATATTGTCACCCATTGCTGTCATCTATTAGCTGACATTAATGGTTGGTTGTGTATGATGGATCCATTTTTGCAGATTGGTCAGGGTACTTACAGTAATGTTTATCGTGCACGCGATCTAGATCAAGGGAAGATTGTTGCTTTGAAGAAAGTAAGGTTTGATAACCTGGAGCCTGAGAGTGTTCGTTTCATGGCAAGGGAAATTCACATTCTGCGTAGGCTTGATCATCCAAATATAATAAAATTGGAAGGGCTCGTTACATCTAGGATGTCTTGCAGTTTGTACCTTGTTTTTGAGTACATGGAGCATGATCTAGCGGGCCTCGCATCGCACCCTGGTCTTAAGTTTACAGAGTCACAGGTACACGTGGGAATTTATTTTACAAAATAAAACTGCAATTCGCCGATATGTCCTTACTTCTTCCTCCAATTGTCTCTTCCATATTACTGCAACGTGATGAGTGATTTTACTCAAGAGAGTCTCTTCAGAAGTTGCACCAATGAATTTACGTGTATATTTTGTTTCCAGTTAAATGTTGCACCGATATATGTATGTATAGTTTATTACATGCTTGCTTAATCATGGAAAGTCTTAATTTTTTTTCTTTCTCCAGGTTAAATGTTACACACAGCAGCTCTTACGTGGACTTGACCATTGTCATAGTCATGGTGTTCTGCATCGTGATATTAAAGGTTCCAACCTTCTTATTGACAACAATGGCATTTTGAAGATTGCAGACTGGGGTCTGGCAAGTTTATTTGATCCTCATCAAAGTCAGCCTCTGACGAGCCGTGTTGTGACCCTTTGGTACAGGCCACCTGAGCTTCTGCTTGGTGCCACTTATTACGATGCTGCTGTGGATTTATGGAGTACTGGTTGTATACTAGCTGAATTATATGCTGGCAAGCCTATCATGCCTGGAAGAACAGAGGTACCTTGTGTATTTGATAATTGCCACATTAAGTTTAGCATTGATATCTACTGACAAAGAAAAAAGGGGAAAAGAAAAGAAAACAAGAAAACTGAAAAATAGAAGAAAGAATTGATTCTATAGCATGTTATTCAAGGAGAAAAAGGAGTCTGTAACGTGCAGGTTACTGATTTTCTGATAGGGAAAGCCATTTGTCTTTGGTACAACTGATTTTTATTTTAGTTAGATTATGAAGTCGTTAAAGTTTGTAGTAAGAGAGAAGAAGAATAAGAGCGGAAGAAGAGAAGATCACATAAAGAAAGTAGTGTGTTACGGTTACATAGCTGCATCCCAATATATATATAACCATAAAATACCAAAAATACTCTTAAGGGTTACATTCTAATATTACATAACATTCCTCCTCAAGTTGGTGCATAAATATCTCTCATGCCCAACTTGCAAATGATAGGATGAAAAATCTTGCTATTAAGCCCTTTTGTGAAAACATCGGTCAACTGATTGTTTGATTTCACAAAGGGCATGCAAATAAAACCCTTTAACTTCTCTTTGATGAAGTGTCGATCAATCTCAACATGTTTAGTTCTATTATGTTGAATTGGATTGTGTGCAATGTTGACAGTTGCCTTATTATCACAGTACGGTTTCATAGGCCCATCACCATGAATTCCGAGCTCACTCACTAGAATTTAGAGTCACATAAACTCACAAATTCTATGGGCCGTGACTTTATATTCAGTCCCCGCACTAGATCTGGCTACTACTGTATCCTTTTTACTTTATCATGTGACAATATTCCCTTTTATAAAGGTGGAAAGCCAAAAGTGAATCTTCTGTCTTTTACTGACCCTGCCCAATCTGCATCATTGAATGTTTCTAGTTTCAAGTAACCATTATTAGAGAACAAGATCCCTTTCTTTGGGACTTAACTTGAGATTCCTCAAAATACGATACACAGCTTTAAGATGAGAAACTCGAGGATCATGCATGAACTAACTTACAACCTTCACCACATAAGCGCCGAGTACGAGAGAAATATATCAATCTCCCCACCAATCTCTGATATCTCCTTATTCACAACATTACCAACACCAACCACCCGTTGATGTTTAACTTCAATAGGAGGATCTGTAGATTGACATTCCAACATATCAGTTTCTTTAAGTAAGTCAAGAACATATTTTCTTTGGGACATAAAAATGCTTGTCTGTTTTGACAACTTCAATTTTAAGAAAATATCTCAATGAACCCAATTCTGTTATTTCAAACTCCTTAGTCAATTGATCTTTCAGTTTGGTAATTTCATGCACATTATTCCCAGTTATCATTATATCATCTTCATATACAATGAGAATTGTTATTTTGTCATCTACCTATCTAATAACATAGTATAATTAGCATGACTCTGCTTATATCCAAATTTCAACATGGTCTTGAGGAATCTATCAAACTAGGCTCTAGGTAATTGCTTGAACCCATAAGGTGACTTTTTCAACTTACGCACTTTTACTTTAGTTACCTGAGATGAAAAATTAGGTAGAATCTCCATATATACCTCCTCTTCCAAGTCTCCATGGAGAAAGACATTTTTCACCTCCAACTGTTGCAAACTCCATCCCAAGTTATCTGCATAGGAGAGAAGAACAAGTATAGAGTTTATTTTTGCCACGGGGGCAAAAGTCTCTTGATAATAAATGACATACGTCTGAGTGAATCCCCTAGTAACCGGTCTTGCGTTGTATCTCTCAACTGAACCATCGGCTTATTGTTTGACAACGAACACCTATTTGCACCCAACTACTCTTACTCCAATAGGAAGTGGAACTAATTCGCATGTATCATTCTTCTTTAGGGCTCTCATTTCCTCTACTATAGTTTCTCATCACTTTAGATCGGTGAGTGCTTCCTTCCAACCCTGAGGAATAGATATAGAAGACAAATAAGAAATAAAGGTACGATAGGATGGAAATGAGGAATCATAGGAAACAAAGGTAGAGATAGGGTGTTGATTACAAGCTCAAACACCTTTTCTAACGACAATAGGAACCTCCAGACTCATCAACAGTGGGATTATCAATAATTTGGGTGACAACTGGAAACTCATTACCTGATAAATTAGTAGGAGATGTTAGAACTAGAGGAGGAATTCAACTAACTAGGCGGCACATGGGTTGTTTGTACCTTCGAACGCAGAGAATAATTCTTCAGAGTACCAGGTGGATCATTGGTACTAACAATTTGTTGTTCTCCCTTATCCCACTGGAAAGACAATTGAAGAAAGGGCTTCTGACATACCATATCTTCCTTAATAGTATGTTCTCCCCCTAAAGAAATGGCTAGAGAGGAGAGAAATAGGACTCACTCGCGAAAGTAACATCTATGTTAATATACATCTTCTGAGACGGTGGATCGTATCACTTATACCCTTTTTGAGTAGGAGAATAACCAACAAAGGCACCTCAGAGCCCTAGTATCAAGTTTTTCCCTGGATGTTCTGTAGTTATGTACAAAACAAACACCCCAAAAATTTAGGAGGAAGAGAAAAAATATAACGGATAGGTAAAATCTCAGAATGACACTTAATAGGAGACTTGAATTGCTCGACACCGGAAGGTAGATGATTACGAAGGTAATCAATGGTAAAAATTGTGTCTACCCAAAAATAAGAAGGAATATGCATAGTAAACATTAGTAAACAAGCAACATCAAGAAGATGACGATTTTTTTGCTCAGCAACATTATTTTGTTCTAGGTACTCACACAAGTAGTTTGATGAAGGATGCCACTCTTATTGAGGTAAGAATGAAATTTCCCATCAATGTACTCTGTGCCATTGTCACTGCGAAGGATTTTGATTTTACCATCGAACTGGGTACCACCCATTTTATGAAAAAAGCGAAAGTAAGAGAAAACTTTACTTTTAGTATGTAGTACGTATACCCCAAGTAAAACGAGAATAACAATAAATAAAAGTGATAAACCAACGATAACATGAGATAGAGACAACTCGAGAAGGTCCCCACACATCAGAATGAATAATAACAAAAGGAGTAGTGCTTTTATTATTAGTGCTAAGATTAGAAACCATTTGTCCAAGTTCACAATCATTACAAACAAAAAATTGCCTATTACATTGCTTTACTAGATTAGGAAAAATATGTTTTAAAACACCAAACGAGGGATGCCTTAAACGTCTTTGCCATTGATGTAAGAGTTTAAGGGCCAGAATACCATCTGCTTGAAAAACTTGACAAGTGGACTAAAGAGAAGCATCATCATGTAGGAGATATAGACCACCATGTGTTTTACTACTACCAATCATTTTTCCTAATTTCAGTTCCTGAAAGGTACAATGCGTAGGAAAAAAATGTCAGTGAACAATTCAAGGATTTATTAATACTACTAATAGACAATAAGTTAGTGGAGAAATTAGAAACATGGAGAACAGAGGAGAGAGATAGAGTTGGTGAGCAATTAATTGAACCTTTCTTAGAAATTGAGGATAAAGATCCATTTGTCCCATTGACTTTATTCATATCTGAACATATAATGAATGAAAAGAATAGATTAGAGGAACCAATCATGTGGTATGTGGCTCCAGAATCTGTTATCCAAGGAACAATGAGAATGATGCAGTAAACACACCTAGATATACTTGTATGAGCCAAGTTGGAAGAAGTATGGTAAGGGGCTGTGGTGAAAGAAACATCAAGCCAAGCCATCGGACGCCTAAGGGTCTACATCTCATCTTGAGAGAAATTAGAGGGAGTAGACTAAGATGGTGGCTTTGAAGTTTTAGTCATGTGTGCATGAGATCGCACATTATTCCCTCAGCCACGTGTAGGACGTTCAGTCAGCTTCCAACAAAACTCTTTAGAGTCCTGGGTTTTTCCACAATAGTCACACTTTAACGTATCCTCAGCAATAGTGTCATTCGTCTCAGCGGGCTTGGGCAAGACTAAACACATGTCACACTGAGGGATAGCAACTAATGCAGACTATTCATGAGTAGGAGCATGAAGTATAGCAATCCTTTGGCTCTCCTCTGCTGAAGATGAGCATAGGTCTCTTGTAAACTAGGAAATAGATTGCAACTCAAAATCTGAATTTAAATCTGATCATACTCAACATTAAGACCAGTAAGAAATTCATGCACTCGTTCCTTGTCCACCATCTGCTGAAATTTAACAACATCATTAGTACAATCTATCTGAAAACTTTGATAGCAGTTAAGCTCCTGCCATAAAGTAGTAAACTCTGTATACTACACTGCAAGTGCCTTATCCTTCTAGTTAGTGTCCTGAACTTTCTTGCGAAGATCATATGTTTTGGCATCGTGACCCTTTTGAGAATATGTGTGAACAACAATAGTCCAAATTTTATGGGTTGTATCCAGTACAGAAAACCTCGACTTATAGAGGGTTGTATGAAATTAAGCAATCAAGACATAATTAGGGCATTTTCAGACGTCCACTACTTCAAGGTAGGACCAGACTCATTGGGCTTCTCAGTCTCCCCAAGTTAAATAACCATTCAAGGAGATTGCTTGGACGGACAACAAACTAGCTCAAGACTATGCCAAATAATTGCTCCCATCTAGTTTTATTGGGCTAATTTGGAGAGATGGGTTATTTGTTAGAACACCCAAACGGCTCACCCCAATTCTTCCGGTATTTACCCCAACGTTTGTAGATGCCTCATTACCTTCAGACGTGTCTATGCAATAGGAGAAACCAAAAAAACAAAATTGAGACCCAAAATTGCATAGACAGTGACCAAAACAGTGCCTGTAGAGCCTCAACACAGGAATCAGTAGCAGTAGCACCTCAACAGGACCCAACCAGTAGCAGCAACACCTCAACAAGAGCCAACCAGTAGCATTATAGTCTCACGGATGAACTAGAGGGTTTGGAACTGTAGCTTGGAAGAGGCTGAAAAGTGGCTAAAAAACCTCTCAAATCTGATCTAATCCCAACAACTCCTCATGGGTATTCAACGTCTATACTTTTCACACCTCACCTAGGAGAAAACAGACCATACGCAAAAAAGAAGTCCCCGCAGTGGAAAAACGCAAGAATAGGTAGCCGATGGTTAAGTTTTGGCCAAAAAAACTTCAGAAATCCCATCCAAATGCAACAAAACTGGATGGGAAGTCCAAACTACTCCCAGTCGAGCCTTACAAAGAAGAATCAATCGAAAAACAAGCAACAAATTAGGCTAAAACTGGAGATCTCACCTTTGGCAACTTTAAACTAGCACAAACTTCAAAAATTGAAAAAACCAGTCAAACGGCTTCCAAAAAATTCAAAAAAATTACCAATATTCCCAGAAGCTTCAATTGAATCTGTCTATAATTTTTCCGAAATTTTCTGACATGTTTGATGCTGATGTCTTGTCATAACTTGGTAGAAAACACTGATGACTACGCAGTGGGTTTCTGATGAATTTCGAATGTAGATTTTGATCGGTGCTCCGATACCAAATTAAATTATGAAGTCTTTAGGGTTTGTAGCAAGAGAGAAGAAGAATAAGAGACGAAGAAGAGAAGATTATGTGAAGAGATAGTGTGTTAGGGTTACACAGCTACACCCCAATATGTCTATAACCATAAAATACCTACAATACCCTTAAGGTTTACATCCTAACATAACATAACAATTTCCCATGTTTTTCTCTTAGTATTCCACTCTTATCGTTTCTTGGCGTAAGTTAACAGTTGCTAATATTATTAGACGGAGCACTCGAACTGGAATTTATTTATGACACTTCTAATTTTGGACATCACTAGTGAAGTGGTCAAAAGAAATACACCCTGTTGGAGTTTGATTGTTGGCAGGGTTCTGCCTTGGGGTTCACACAAAAGGTGGCTGGCCTTTTATGTTCCAGAAGTCTTTTTAGGATTGTAGTTAGAAAATTTAGAGGCTTCTACCATCAGGCAGAAATGGCTAGTGGAAGGATTGTGAACTATGCAGAGATTTATATAATTAGTGTTGGCTGGAAAAATAATCTGTGTGCATTCATGTAAGTTTGAAAAAAAAATGAGCAGTCAATATTCTTTTTTCTCCCCAAGTCAAATTATTAGTTTGGCTACTCAGCTTTGGGAAACAGGGAGTGTAATTAGCTATTGGGGTTATGTGCAGGAAGGAAAGGAATTAAGGGCAAACCTTACTTTCTTTTCTGATCACAACTCAAAAGAGACAATAAAAATTAGACTTAAAATTTAAACACGGAAGGAACATAGCTTGTATTGGGCATTTAGTGGTGGGCACCAGTGAGCAATAAGGAAGTATCCACCAATCTCAACCGCTCTTAAATTACCACCAAGAACTTTTGATGTTGCATCTGTAAACATATGACATGCATCCACAGAACCCTGCTGCATTACAGTAAGAACCATGTAAGAATATAGGTTCTCATGTAAATATTTTATGTATTGGATTTGTGTTTTCATGTTTCCTTACTGAACTCTTGTTATCTAATGAAAAGAGCACATATGTAATGATCAATCCTATTTGAGTATTGAAAACAAATTTGGATTAATCCAGCTAATGGCCATCTGATAGTATAATAGTTCAGACATTTGACCAAATATCAGGACTATTGTGGCCACTTGTCCATTAAGTCTGATTCGTTTTGTATTGTGTAACATGATGATGTCAGTAAGATTGTTCTTTTCTGTCTTGTAGGTCGAGCAGTTACATAAAATTTTCAAACTTTGTGGTTCTCCATCAGAGGAGTACTGGAGAAAATCAAAGCTACCTCACGCAACCATTTTCAAGCCCCAACAACCTTATAGACGCTGTGTTGCAGAAACATTTAAAGACTTCCCTGGACCGGCATTAGCTCTGATGGAGACCCTACTTAGAATAGATCCTGCTGATCGTAAATCTGCGGCATCTGCTCTGAAGAGTGAGGTATCATGCTTCCTTGTAGAATGTGGTCTATTTATTACATACGTTAACAAACTCCAAAAACATGAAAACGTAGGTTCAATATGAATTAGTTATGTAAGCTTAAGGAGAATCAACCAACAAGAAAAGTTTATGATGATGTTGCCTGAATATCAAAATTGTTCCAGGACTATCCATGCAAAATATTAGTCTATATTACTCTGCATTTGCTAGTGGTGTTGTGTTGCATCATATCAGCTATGGCAAGATGTATCAACATTGTGTCACATTGTACTTCTCAAAAGTGGGGGAGTACTTGTTGCAGTTGTGAATGAATTTGTTACCTAGTAGTCATATATATTGGCATTGTCCGCTGGTTAGAAACATCATTTTCAATCCAGTTTTTACAAAGGTTGATGTTATAGGACCCATATTAGCTATGAGAAATAGGTGTAGCACTCTTACTTTTGCAAATAATCCAATGCACAGTAAATCCTTTGCGCTTGTATGTGGAGAACAATTATGTGAAGTAATGTACATTGAATTTACTGTTATTTGTAGTTTTTTTGCAAGGGATTTGCTCTTACTTTTTGGCTTTGGTTTTTGTACCACATGCTTGATACGGATTACTTTCTTATTTTTTTCAATTTGGAAATAGACTACTTGTCAAGAATCAAATGTTAACAATGCATGCAAACATTCTGGATATCCACGTTGGATTCTTGTGCTCCATTACTTTGGACTCTGGTCATGGGCTATTATGGCGTTATGTCAATAGTCTTGAACTCTCAATGATTTTTTTTGAATCGTGGAACCTTTTCTGGTTTACCTCGTGGAAGTAATGATTGTGGCTGCCCATTGTACAAAACGTATGTTGTTGCTGTTATCACTGTAATGTATTTGAGGCATCAATATTTTTTGCAGTTCTTCACAACCAAACCACTTCCTTGTGATCCATCAAGCTTGCCAAAGTATCCTCCCAGCAAAGAGTTTGATGCAAAAGTTCGGGATGAAGAAGCTAGAAGGTGCATGTTATTAATTTTGTTTTCGTTATTTGTACATTTAAGCCATCTCTCATACAACCTGAACCAATAATGCATCAAGGCTAGGGGTGCAACTCGGCCGAGCCAAGTATTAAAAATTCGGGCAAGCCTCGGGTTGTCGGGTTCAATCCGAATATTAAAATTGGGTTGAACCCGATTATTAAATTGAGTTGAACCCAAATATACATAAATATATTTAACTAATGTTAGTATTTATCTTCACTTTTCAAAGTCCAAACTTTCACTTCAAGTTTTCACCTTGCGTCTCCATCACTCTCAGATCCCTCTCTCACTCGTCTCTCATTTGATCTCAAACTCTCAAGCTCCCTCTCTCACTCATCACTCTTCCCTCTCTCAATCGTCACTCGTCTGAGTTATCTTAGACTCTCAGCCTCCCTCTCTCATCATCTACGCCTCGCCCTTCATATCAGATCACTTGAAAAAATCAAATTTACACTTCAAAAAATCAACCCGAATTAAGCAACTCAAGTCCAACCCAATTTTTAACCCAAAATCGGCCCGAATTAACTAACCTGAATTCAACTCAAGCCCGTTCGAATTAAACTCGGATAAATAAAGCACCCGTATCCGAGCTCTCTTACCTAATTAAGACAATATATGCTAGTTTCGAGACGATGCTTATTTTATTGTGCCTAAAACAGGCCTTGCGAATATTGTACCTTAGGTCCTTGAGGCTTCTTATTTACTCATTCTGGCAATTTTGAAATACACATTAGGACGAGTATAGTAAAAAATCACCATTTTTTAAGCGATCAGTGTAGATTTGTGTATCATGTCTAATCAGTTTTGTGCTCAATAATTGCTTTTGTTTAATTTGAGTGGTAACATTGAGATTTAAGAGTTCTGCTGTACTAGATTTATGCCATATCAAATTACCTGAAATATTTCAGCAAACTCCCGTTGGATTGGGAGTGGCATGCGAATGCTAAGTTAACCAAATGAGATTCCAGACAGAAAGCAGATTCTATTGCTCCTTAGTCAGTTAGTCCTGAGTTGTTGGATTTTGTCACTTGCATCATCGTGAGTTATTTATCACTTGAAGTTAAATGTTCATTCTTGTGGCACATGCTAATGATCCTCCTTCTCCTCCCACTCCTAGGCCACAGGTAGAGGGGAGGGGGAGTAAAACCCTTCCTCTCGCTGTCCCTTTTTTCTCTCAGGCACAACTCTCCCCCTGGCTTGGCTGCTACAAGTGTTGCATGTACTGATAACCTTCTTATTGGTGGTTGTAGACAAGCGGCATGTGGAAGCAAAGGTCACAGATATGACCTTGAAAGGAGAGGAACAAGAGAGTCCCGAGCCATTCCAGCTCCCGATGCCAATGCCGAATTAGTCTTGTCAATGAAGGTGCTTCTGTATTCAAATTTTTATTGATAAGTCTCTTGCAGCTGCTGTCATTTTGCTCCTTTTTGATTTTGTTAATAACGTTATCATACATGTTTGAGACTGAGACATCCTTGACTCTCTGATCCATGTGCATGAGCACTCCAGCATTTTTCTTTATGTGTGTGTGTGTGTTTTTTTTTTTTTTTGGGGGGGGGGGGGAGATAATTCTGATTTGTTTTTTTTTTTTTAAATTTGTATATTCACTGAGTGGCTATCTCAATACAGAAACGACAAGGTCAGTCCAATTCCAAGAGCCGGAGTGAGCTGTTCAACCCTCATGCAGAAGAAGTTGCTTCTGGCTTTCCGATTGACCCACCCAGACCATCCCAAGCTGTTGAAGAAGCAATCGATGATCCCCAGAGGCATCTTCATAAGAGAGCTTCCCATTCTGGGCCGTTGGTTAAACGGGCTGCCTGGGTAAAGTCTGGAAAGAACGTGGAAGATGCTCCAAAGATGTCAAATGGGGCCGACTTATCGACAATGTCTGGTTTAGTGGCTGCAAGGAGGGCTTTGTTGTCTGAAGATTGCAGGGAGAAGGCTGGTCCTGCGGAACAGGATGTTCCAAAACTAATTGGCAGGTTTCCGGGATCTTTCAAGGACGTATCCAATTCTATGGTAAAGCATGATCCAAAGAATCACGCGGCTGTTGGATCTCATCAAAATGAGGAAGGAAGAACCAGCAACAAAGATTCAATTCTTGTATGTATCAAGAAATGCATCCTTTTTTTAACACCACTCACACACCATCCAGTTGTGGAAGTGGGGTGTCAATACCAATTGATTAGGCCAAATCTAATTTTTTTCCCTCGGTGGTTTCTTTTCAAAGAATGTGAGTAGGTGTTGTACCAAGCATTTTTATCTGCTGATTATTGTTCTTGCTTATGTTTCTTCAGCTTGGGTACGGATCAAAGGGAAACAAACTTCACTACTCTGGTCCACTGCTAGTTCCATCGGGCAAAGTGGATCAAATGCTGAAAGAGCATGATCGTCAAATCCAAGAAGCTGCAAGACGAGCACGCCTGGACAAGGCAAAAGTGAGAACAGTACAGGTCGAGGGAAACCAGTTGTCAACCAATTCATTATTTGTTTCTGGTCGTTGAGCTGGCTTTAAAGGATAAGAAGAAAGGTCATCACAGAATTTCTCTGTGATTCTCTTGTAAAACGACTTGTTTGATTTTGTATAGAGTTCTTCCACGAATGATGGGGTAGGGGTTCATTTTTTAGCTGATCATAGAGTACACTAGGAAATCTCTCTCTCTCTCCAGCAACCGCAGTTACTAAAATATGAGTCATTCTTGTAGAGCTTATTGGGATGTAGCTGTAAACATAATAATTGTTACTTTGATCACACTACTGGTAGTTAGGCAGTTCATCGATTTGGTGCAATGCTCTCTCTCTCTCTCTCTCTCTCACATGGGTATGGATTGACTACTATTTGGACTAATTTTGGGTGATGTTTGTATACTTTTTTAAAGAAAGGAAGGAAATTAACCAAGGTGAGTGCTAACTAGGCTAGCTGTGTGCTTAATTTGATGCTATTATCAGGCACCATTTGATAATGTTTTCAAACCTTTTATTTTTTGGCATTTCAAGTATTTTTGGTAATTAACATTTAGTTCATGGTTTTACTACAGTTAATTCAAAAGTTATATTGAATCAGGTCAACAATTAGGTACCAATAATATTACTTTTGATGTATTCTTCTAAGCTTAATATATAATATCAAACATATATATCTGTATATATATAAATATAGTATTTATGTCTATCTATATCTATATTACTAATAAAAGTATCTTAACATGAAAAACTTTTGAATCTCTATTTTACCCTTATAAAGAATTGTAAAAATCATTCTATCATTTGATAATTAAATATCTAAATTATCATTATATCCTTATATTTAAATCTCTAAATTAACTCTAATATCTCTTTTAATTATCTATTTTCTATGTATAAATATTGGTTTTCTATGAAAAAAAATTGATTGACTATATTATCCTTAAAAAAATATGCATCATTATACTTTTAATAAAGTGTTCAAAAATTTCATCAATCTAATATTACTCTTCTCATATGCAAATATAATATTATATCTATATATGTATATATATTTTTTCATCGAAAAAGTTTAAACCTTTCATTTCTAAGATAAAAAATAATCATATATATAGTTTTTTAAAATCAATTTATGTTACATTAATATAATTATTCAGTCACAATAAACTTTCTAAGTTGTATTAAAATTTATGTGAAAGTATATATTGTAGTGTATTTTTTAGAATTTTAATTTTGTCTAATTTGAAAATTTTTAGAAATTTTAAGTAAAACTTGAAATTTTTAGAGTAGTATATTAAATTTTATATCAATTCACCAAACCAATTCCTAATTATAGTAAAATTCTAATATGATTAGCATATTAAAAATTAAAATTTTTTTATTCAAGAAGTTATAAGTAAAATCCTAATAAAATAAATTTCAAAAAATTTAATTTATCAAACATCACTAAAAAATCAATATCAATCACAAAATTCTAAAAAAAATAAAAAATAGAATTTTAACTTTTAAAAAAAAAATCTATTTTCTATTAGTTAGAACAAAGAATTTTGGGAACATAGAAAATTTTTATAATCTTATAATAGAATGTTATTAATGAAAGATTAAGTTTTATAAATTTGAGATGATATTTAATTCAGATACACATATACTTAATATGTTTTATTAATTTTTGTGTACGAAAAATTGTCATACACAAAGCACGTGGTACATTGTTAATAATATAAAACGTATATAGACTAGTTTTTTTTTTTGGTCTAAATAAACACTAGTTAAAATTATAATTAATCATCTTTTGGATTTTTTATCTTAACTGTCTTTTTAATTAAGCACAAGTATTTGAAAAAAAAAATTATAAAATGATATATTTCTTGCTTGCTAATGAGAAGAAATAATGGAAGCTCCCAAGGACACGCAATAGAATTTTACACCACAAGGAGGGTGTCTCTGTATTTCCCACTACCCCAGGTTATCCTTTCTAAGTTTCTAGTTGACTATTATTATTTTTTTGTTTAATGGTCCGAAGTTCTTCTCCCATTTTATGTGTATTTTAACTAATTTTTTCTTTTATCCGATCAAAGACAAATCAATTATGTCAAAATTAAAATATTTACGAGGAATAAATCCATTATCACCACCGATATCCCTTTTTGAAAATATATATGACTTTATCCCGTCATTAAACTCCAGCTCTAGGAATATACTCTCTCTCTCTCTCTCTCTCTCCCTCTCCTTCTGTATGCATGAGCAGCACGATGCTTTTATGCTGTTTGTAGAAGGAATATTTATGAAGTTTCTTCAACGAGGAAGGAAGCTGAAGTATCTGTCCCGAGGAAAGGTTAGTGCCTTTCTTCATCTATTAAATTAATCACTAGAATTTTTAACACATTCTTTATGACTTTGTCCATTGATTAATCTAATCCTTGAAGCCTAATATTATATAGTTTCATTAATCATAATTAAAGTTGGACCTCGTATGCGCCTGGTCATTGAAAATTTAATGGAAGAAGAATCCCCATTCAATCATAAGTTCATAATCTCTTTTTTTAAGTTTTCTCATCTACCGTTCCTCAACAGGGCTTATTGCCCAAACCTATCATTCAATCCAACTATTTTTCATGGTTAAACTTTTGAATTTCGAGTTATTTAATTTGGGGTAAAAACCAAGTTCGATTTTGTTATTGGGTTCAATATTCGGGTTTGAAATTTATTTTAATTCATATTCTTCGCACTGAAATTTAGTTTAAATTTAAGATTGTAATATACGGAATGTGATTCATTCAAATGATAGACAAGTTGAATAGAATTGATTCAGTATAATATTTTGAACTCCCAGTCATCGTTAAGTACTGAAAAACTCAAGAATCCAACTTGAGTTAATCAAATTTAAACTAGGTGAGAGAGAGAAAGAGAAAAAAGAAGGAAAAAAAGAGAGCCGGGGGGCGAGGGGGAGTAAGAGGACGTCATGAAGCCACGTACGTCGACAAGAATAAGAGCGGGAACAAGTGGATTGTAGAGAATGGGTGGGCCTGGGGTTTCCAACTAGAAGCCATAAAGTATTCGAAAAGCTAAAGAAAAAACCAAGAAAAACCCAAATACCAATACAAAAATACACACACGGCCTATGTTTTTTATGGAAAAGATTTTTGTTTGTTTTTTTTTTCTGTCTTCCCTGTTGCAAGAGAAAATAGTTATTGAATTTTTGAGGCTCTCCTTCTTCCTTTGGAAAGAAAACCCACTTTTTTGGTTTGTAAGTATCCGAAAGTCCTGATGTGTGGTTCTTGTTTGTTTAACTGTCCATCTGAAACAGAGCAGAAGCTGAACCAGATGATCCTCTCATGGTGATAAACTAGTGCTGGTACGCCTCTTTCTCTCTTCCTAATACTCCCTGTGTCTTTCTATAGTTGTATGTGTGTGTATTATATGTGTTTGATTATGCATGTATGCGTAGTTGCTTCATCTGGGTAGTTTGAATTTGCAGTTTCGTTTGATACTTTTTTGGAGGTTTCTTTGATGGGTATTTGTTGGTTGTGGTGGTGCTTGAGTTATTCATGCTTAAAGCTGCAAATTTTATGCTTATGATTGTATGGTTTTATGGCCAACAGGGAATTGTTTTGTTAAGAAAAGTGAGGTTTTGGGCTTTTTTAGGATGATGAGTTTTGATTGTTTCTGTTGCTAAGATGAGTTGTTGATTCACAATGGCACTGGTGAAAGATAAAGTATGTCTTAGAAGTTCAGGGATTCCTCCATTTCGTGGTTGTGTCTGGGTATACACTAGACCTCTTGTAGCTATAGGTGGATAACAATGGAGGGTTCGTCTGAGTCTGGTTGGCAAAGTCTGATTGTTCTTGGGGAATAAATTCATCGGCGGTTTCTGATAGAAACCCTAGATTGGTTCGTGCCAGCTATATCAGATTATTCGTTGAGACACCTCCTCATTCTGGGTGTATTCCTGGGAGAAAGGTGAGAGATAGAGATTTGCTGCCTCACACCAATCACATTAAAACCCAGTTTGGAGGCTCTAAGGATGGGGTGGCAATGAGCCAGGTTGTTCGTGCCGTCGATTGTAGTGATGTTAGCTTGAGACAGTGGTTGGACAACGCTGAACGATCTGTTGATGCCCTTGAATGCTTGCACATATTTACACAAATTGTAGAGATTGTAAACCTGGCACATTCACAAGGAATTGTTGTTCAGAATGTGCGTCCCTCATGCTTTGTCATGTCTTCATTCAACCATGTCTCGTTTATTGAGTCTGCATCTTGCTCGGATTCTGGTTCGGATTCTTGTGAGGATGGATCAAACAGCCAAACTGCCGAGTTTAAGGGTTCCTCATCGCCTTTGCCCCATGACTTAAATCTGCCTGAAAGTCAGTTAGGTTTAGAAAATTCTCAGCTGGAGTTGAATCCAGCAAACACTTCCCAGATAGTGTCAGAAACCAGTTGTTTGCAGTCAAGTTCAGCCAGTGCAATGCGTGTGTCGTGGGAGGCCAGTAATGTTGAACAAGCAGATGAAAAGAAGCATCCCTTTCCAATGAAAGAGATATTGATTATAGAAACCAATTGGTACACGAGTCCAGAAGAGGTTGCTGGAACTCCAGGTTCTTGTGCTTCTGATATTTATCGACTCGGCATCCTCCTTTTTGAGGTCATTATTATGCGTGTCTCTCTCTCCAAATATTTAAAGCTATTGCTGTGCTTTTCCTTCTTACCTGATCTGGATGTATTACTTCTTGACAGTTATTCTGCTCATTTAGCTCGGCAGAAGATAAGAGGACAACCATGGCTAGTTTGAGACATCGTGTACTTCCTCCTCAGTTGCTACTGAAGTGGCCTAAGGAAGCTTCATTTTGTTTGTGGTTACTACACCCTGAGCCAAGTAGTCGCCCAAAATTGGAGTGAGTTTTCCTTACAACCTAGCCTTTCTACAATGCTATCTCTTTATGTATGGCCTGTGTGTATTGTGACTTAACTTTATAGTTTGGTCACCATTTTAATTATTGTTTCCTTCTTTGAGAGTGCAACATATTTGTGCATAAATACAACATATTACATTGGTATTTTTAGCATCTCTGCTGGCATCCAACATCTTATATCCAAAATTTTGTGAGTTCTCATGTTGATCTGATGAAAGCAGTATACTTCAGAGGATCTCAGAGACCAGTTATAGCAAAGTCCATATTATGGCTGTTTGCAGATTATATAAGTTTTTGGCAGTTACATGCTGCTAATTGTTGTTTTTCTTATCTTCCTTGCAACCATTTCAATGCGGTTGATGTCCAATAAAAAAATTTTGGAATCCTAAATCTGTTGTTTTCAGACTTCCCCAACTTTTTTGAAACAAAACCTGAAAAGGGAAGTAAATAAAAAAAAAGGGGGGTAGAAAAAAAAAAGACCTTTTGCTTGCCTCCGGCTGGTTTGAAAATGGTCAGCGGGGTGGTGAAGTTTCTAGGTGGGGATCCATGCATCGGCTTAGCCCCCAACGCCCAAAAGTAGATACAGACGGGCACTTTTATATATATCACGTGTGTGCTGGCTGCTGCGTAACTACTAGATTAGGATGAACCAGTTTTCATGATTCATCCCTTAAGTAGTCAGTCCGTAAACTATACTGAGTTGTGCTCAGAGAAAGAGTGAATTACCTTCCGAAGCTTTGAGCAGATACAAGTTGGCAGATGCTTTTTATTGTTGGCCAATACACTGATGAAGAATAATATTTATCCCTTCCAGAATCCACCTTCTGATGCCACACCAAGATAGTGATTTCAGGTTTCAATCATTGGGACAGAATTAGCTCAGTTAAATGATTTGCAATTTGTAGTTCTCTCCGCAGCTCTCTTTGAAAGCAGCCGCAATACTTCACAAATGTAAGAAGGAAATGCATAGGCACCTTGCTGTATAAAAGGAATTGCTTCAGCCTATGGAGTCTTGGTGCATTGATAATGTGGTATGGCAGGGAATGCTTTAAAGTATATGTACATTTTGTTTCCTTCCTGATTTGTGCTTCCTTGGCCAAACTGTTGCAGCTTTGTTCTTGACCTACTCGTGTCTATTGGTAGATCAATTTCATTGTGGTAGGAGTGTGAAGAGTACATGAGGAAAGTGTATTCTGAGTTACCTTGCTACTTATAGTAGGGATGCTGAGTCATATGGTCTTACTTCTTAGAGTAACTTTGCTTGCCATTTCAGGAAAAGTGTTTGTTAGGATGGTAATGGTAGAAGTCAGTGCTAAGAATGTATAGTGGAAATGAATGCATACATAGTCTTAGTTTTCTGGTGACAGTTTCCAAATTGTTGTTTTGTAATGGAAAAAGGATTAAGTTTGTGCTATAAACTTTCAAATTTACCTCGGCACATTCCACCTTCATTAATTTTGATTTCCTTGAGGTTAACTGTTCATACTCATTGCTGCTCTTGCCATGTATAAAAGTGAGCTGTTGCAAAGTGACTTTCTTAATGAACCGAGAGAAAGACTAGAAGAGCGTGAAGCAGCAATAGAGCTTAGAGAAAGGATAGATGAGCAGGAGTTGTTGCTGGAATTCCTTTTGCAGATGCAACAAAGAAAACAGGAAGCTGCGGATAACTTGCATGACACCATTTCCTTCATTTCTTCAGATATAGAAGAAGTTTCAAATCTCCAAACAGTGCTTAAGAAAAAAGAAGGTTCAAGCCCAGAACTTGGAAAGGATTTTGCTGCAGGTTCCCATTCAAGGAATATTATTGACAATGATGACTCTAGTAGCTCTGGATCCAGGAAACGGTGCAGGCCTGGGCTTCAAGTTCATAATACGGAGGAATCTCATGATCATCAAGATGAGGATAAGAAATCAGGGATACCCACAGAACATCAAGGAAGCATTCTTTCTCAAAGTTCTCGATTGATGAAGAACTTTAAGAAACTTGAGTCAGCTTATTTTTTGATGAGACACAGGGCAATCAAACCAACAGGGAAGCCACCTAGACATTCTGCAATTAGTGAGGGTAGAGGATCAATTGTTGCAACTGAAAGAAGTTCTGTCAATAACTTGTCGTCGAAGGAGCATTATGGCAGTGGTGGACAAAGTGGATGGATAAATTCAATCCTGGAGGGGTTCTGCAAATATCTGTCCTTTAGTAACTTAAAAGTTAAGGCAGACTTGAAGCAAGGGGACCTTTTAAATTCTTCCAACCTCGTATGCTCTCTGAGTTTTGACCGTGATGGAGAATTTTTTGCCACTGCTGGTGTAAACAAGAAGATCAAAGTGTTTGAATATAATGCAATCTTAAATGGAGATCGTGATATCCATTATCCTGTAGTTGAAATGAGTAGTAGATCTAAGCTAAGCAGTATATGTTGGAATGGCTATATCAAAAGCCAGATTGCTTCAAGTAATTTTGAAGGTGTTGTGCAGGTATGCCAAGACCTTTATATAATCTGCTTTTTACATCTATTCCCTATTAAAAGATCAGTTGGCTTATATAGACCTTCTTCAGGTATGGGATGTTACAAGAAGTCAAGTATTCATGGAAATGAGAGAGCATGAAAAGCGTGTGTGGTCTGTCGACTTCTCACTAGCAGATCCAACAATACTGGCCAGTGGAAGTGATGATTGTTCTGTTAAGCTCTGGAATATCAATCAGGCAATTCTATTTTTGCACTTGGTGGATGTCAGCTTTGAAAATAAACGTACTGCAGTCATCTAGTTACTGCTGCTCACTATATTCGATTCAGGATGTGTAATTAGTTCTTTTTCTTACATGGGTTGCTACTGCAGGGTGTAAGTGTTGGTACCATCAAAACAAAGGCCAATGTCTGCTGTGTTCAGTTTCCCTCGGATTCTGGTCGTTCTGTTGCCTTTGGTTCAGCAGACCATAAGATATATTATTATGATCTCCGTAACTCAAAGATGCCTCTATGCACATTCATTGGACACAACAAAACTGTGAGTTACATCAAGTTTATAGATTCAGCGAATCTTGTGTCGGCATCCACGGATAACACACTGAAGCTTTGGGATCTGTCGATGTGCACATCCCGGGTTCTTGATTGCCCTCTCCAGTCATTCACAGGCCACATGAATGTAAAGGTACATTCTTGGGTTTTGTCATTAACATTCATTACGTATCGGAATAAGCAAGTATAAAACAACTGTGGTTGCTGTTCTAAGCATCACTCTCAATACAGGGTGTATTGTTATTAACTTTAAGTTAGAGGAGATGGCTTCCACATACTGAGAGTTAGCATATTTAGAATTTATCCATGCAAACTATCAAAGTTTTCACTTGCAACGTTGGTCAATTTTAGAAAATGTTCTCTTGATCGAGTTTTCCTTTTCTTTTCTTTTGTTTTTTTTGTTTTTTTTTTTTTGGGGGGGTGGGGGTTGGGTTCCTTCTTGTTTGGGGGATGGGTTCATGTGACTGTGTTTAAGCACAGGAAAATAAAAAATCCTGGAATGGACTAATATTCAATGAGGTTACAGTTATTCAAAATCAGTAACCTATAGAGTCTCTTGTGATAAATTGAGGATAATTAGAAAAAAAAATCCTAACATAGATTCCCAAAATTTCACCAAGTGTACACTGCCCACTTACATTATGCAGCAGAAACGAACCTAAACCTCTCCGCTTTCGGCTTTCAGTGCTTGAACTCTGGGAACCTCAATATTTTTAAGTGTTCTTTTGAAGGAAAGTTCATAAAAATAGTAACTAGTTTTGTCTAGTAAAAAGAAAAAGAAGTTGCAGATGAGAAGCATTAATTAGTCTTCACCCCCAACTTTAACGTGAAAACAAGGATAAGTACTTTACATTAGCTACATTGTCGTGAATACCCAGAATGTGAATAAATGGCAAGCCTCCTATTTTTAAATAATTATAAACTAATAGTACGCACCGTGTCGGTAACGGGGGTGCATGAATTTGTTCACTTATGTGCATATACTGGCATACTGTGAGTTTATGGTGCACAAGAAAAAATTATTACCATATGCCATTAACAACAATCAAAGCACTTTAGGAAATTTATGGAAAATGTTGTCAAATACATTTTCTCAGACCCATTGTTGGACTCACTACAGAACTATTTATATCTTGACTTGGTGCTTGTTGGCCGAATTTGATATTGACAATTTACGTGCAAGTATACAGGATCAACAAGTAATAAAGTGATAAGTAGAGTATCGTTCCCACGGAGAATTATTACTAATAACTTTCAAGTACTAACTTTATATCAATTCAATTTTATTTAAATAATTGGAATTGAACTATGAAATTACTAATTGAAAACTAAATCTAAACTTAATAATCAATAGTTGAATTTACCGGATAAAAGAAGTTAAGATTACAACTTCCCCTAATGCTTCGTATAAATCTTTCCACTCTCTTTTCAGTTAATTAATCAAAATAAGTTGTTAACTAAGAACTCAAAGTTATTTATCAAACCTCTTCCGATAGTTAGATAAAGTTATCTCTCCCAATTGAATTACTATATTCCTATGCAAAATAAGTTGGAATAGATTCATTAAGTTCAAACTCTCATAAAAGTTACACACGACATATAGGTATATTCCTATCCTATACACAAACCCAACAATTCAATCCTAAGAAGAATTAACTAAACGCATGTCATCATATTCAGATCTATCCCTAGAATTCATCTCCCAATTTCATCTAAGGAATCAAATTAATTGTTGGCCACACAATCATATATTAAGCACCAAATATAACAAATAAATTATGTAAGATCAATAGAACTAGAAACGAGAGTAGATTAATTTAACTAGACATAGGTTCCGTTGCAATCTTAATAATAAATTAGTTCATAACGTAATTGAAAAACATCGTTCTCATATTAAACAACATCTTAGAAAATCAAGAAATAAAAGTAAAAGAAAAGAATAAAAACTTAGATGCAATCTTCAATCCTTCTCTAGCCTTCAAGTCCAATCTTCTTCGTGCTGATTCCTTCGATTCTTGTCTTCAATTTTCTTCCAATTCCTTGGCTTTTCCAGATGTTTTCAGCCCCCAAAAGTCATAACATCTCATCTCCACACAAACCCTAGCATATATGTAGCTTTAGAGTCCAATTTCGGGTCAAAAACAAGTCAAAATTCGCGTCACGGACCAACACAAGCGCGGGGGGCTGAAAAGGTGCCGAAAAAGCGCTGCTTGGACAGAATGTGAGCGCAGGGGCGCTGGAACAGCGCTGCCCCCTTTCAAGCCTTCAGCTCCTTTGTTGTTTAGTCTTCAAAAATCTAACATTTAAGCTCCAAATTGACCTTGTTTCCTTTCAAATGATCTTGTTTGCTTCCAAATAATGATTTCTTCCAAATAACTTCAAAACACAATAAACAAATAAAAAGAAACATAAAATAATTAAAAACTTGCAATTTCATCAAGTCGAAAGTACTCAATTCGTAGGTATAAAACCCACTCATCAGTGCTTTTGAACAAAATCATCAACAACTGCTCAATTAGGTTTTTTAGTCATAATGAATTCAACTAGGTCTTTTCTCAAGTTTTTTTGGTAATTGCAAATTGCAACTGGTGTGTGTAATATCCCCCGATTATAGAGTTATTCCATATTTTCAAAGTGTCGATGATGGTTTGGAAAACTCAGGAAAAAACTCGTTGATTTGTTTACATTGTTATCCTTATTGTTAGTCCTGTTTTTTAATTCAGATATCAACAACTTGTGACAATCTGCTCATGCTGAACATATATCTAACAGCTGATGCATTATTCTTTGTTCCAGAACTTTGTTGGTTTATCTGTATCTGAGGGATACATCGCGACAGGCTCAGAAACCAATGAGGTACTTATAAGTTTTACATTGCTATTGACTATACAATTTGGAACCTACCTTTTTTTTGGCTCATTTATATTCTTACAAAATGGTGACAGAAAAATGGTTTTGGTGTCTCTCATTCGTGGAAAATGTGTAACAATAGATGATTTATTAAGAATTAGTCCGATAAAGAAAATAAGGGCGCAAAGGTTCTGGAAAAATATGGTTCCTCATGACTGCTAGAAGGATACAAATGAACCAAGTGGAACCAAATAGTAAGCTGTTTGATCTTGGAAAGAATTTCTCTCAAATTGCCTTAATCAAGTCCAAATCAATTAGGCTAACTCAACCTTAGTTCAGACCCACCTTTGAAGCATGGATATTTCTAGAAGTTCATATCAGTAAATTATCCATACTTGGTATCGATTCTCTTAGGATACTTGTGCATAAATGTCTTATTCTTGTATATGTATTAACTTCAAGGAAAAAAAACTGTAACAGATACCCAATACTAGAATATGAAAGGTGTATCACACTTCTTTGAAAGAACAAGATTGTTTTGGGTGCTTAAACTATGTCTCAGAGAACAAGAATTGAGATATAGTTTCATCGTTCTTCTTTTACAATGAGACATCGAATTGGGATTAAATGAGGCAAGTTGTGCTGAATCTGGTCTCAAGTCAAAATTGATCCAGCACAAACTGATTTTTGTCTCTTGGGAATTTAATATTGTGGCTTAGTAACTTTGAATCTTATAGATTTTGAGAAGAAGATTGTTGTAATATGTTTATATCAAGACAAACAATTATGATTTTTGTGTCTACGTATGTCTCTGTGCACATATATAGAAAGATTATACCCATTCATATGATGCTATATTATCCTCAACATTTTCATATTCTATCTTTTTTGATCTTTTTCGCATAATGTTCTTGCTGCATTCTGTTTCCCTCTTCCATTCTTGATCTCTCTCCACACAGTTAGGCCGAACTTTTTGACTCATCTCAGCTAAGGCTTCAAGACTGTCAAGAGTAGGCAGCTGATTAGTCAATGCAGGAAAGGTGGAGGCAATGTAGATGATATATTTTGTTATGGTGATATTTTTGTCCAAATCAAAATTTTAGGCGATAGATATGCATAGGATTCCTAAAAAATGCTTTGGGTGAGGTGCCACTCCTATCAGCTAAAGTTCACTTTGCATGGTGAACTGGTTTTACTCTTGCCTGCCTCATATGCTGGTTCTAGTCTGCCCATCACAAACTACTTCTGGGTAGTGCTGTAGGCCTTTTTGAGTTTTTGGATGCACGTCTTTTGTTCCTACTCCTTGTCAGTGTCAAAGGGACAAGCTTACCTTCCCTTGTACAAAAATTAGTTGGACATAAAATCATTTGCAGGTCATATATCCTCGCATCTGGAGTGGCCCTTCTTTTCTGGGTCAGTATTCGGAATGTGCTTAAAGTTACTTTTAATAATGCATCCTGCCATGCTAGCCAGTGGCAAGTATATCCAAGGAGATTATGGCTGCTTGAGGTCAGATCATTTGCTTAAGTGAACTCGGACATTTTGCCCAGGCTCATTTTGGGAACACTTGAGATAGTTGTGAATGAAAAGGGATTCTCAAATTAAGAGTAGAACTCCGTATATATATCCAAAAATAATACAGAGTGACTTAAACATCCTTGTAGTTTAGGCAAAATATAAAAATCATAGTAAGGGTAAAAAAGGGAAAAGAAATCCTAATAAACCTAGACTATCTATACTCCAACACTCCCCCTCAAACTAGGCGCAAAAATGTCAACTAAGTCAAGCTTGACAACGGAGTCCCGAAGAATAGACAGAGTGACAGGTTTGGTAAAAACATCCGCAACTTGATCACTGGTCCCCACAAACGATGGAGTAACAAGACCACTGCTGACCTTCTCCCGAAGAAAGTGAACATCGATCTCTATATGCTTCGTTCTCTCATGTAGTACAGAGTCAGAAGCGAGCTGAATAGCAGATTGATTATCACAATATAATGTGGATGGAGAGGTCACTGAAAAACCCAACTCGTCAAGAATCGATCGTAGCCAGATAATCTCACATGTGCCAAGTGCCAATGTCCGATACTCTGCCTCTGCGGACGAGCGGGAGACAACTGCTTGCTTCTTGCTCTTCCAAGAGATAAGATGAGTCCCTCGAAAAGCACAGAAACCCGTAGTAGATCGACCATCACATGCTCCCCCATAATCTGAATCTGAATAACAGGCTAGAGAACCGGTCTGAGATCCTGATGCATAAAACAACCCAAGTCCAGGACAAGACTTGAGGTACCGAAGAATATGATAAACTGCATCAAGATGAGGCTGACATGGCCTATGCATGAACTGACTAACTCGGCTGACTGCGAATGAAATGTCCGGCCTAGTATTGGCTAAGTAGATAAGTCTACCTACCAATCTTTGATAAACTGTCGGATCTTTCAACTCCTCACCTTCAGCAGTAAGCTTCAGGTTTGGAATCATAGGTGATGATGCCGGTTTGCACCCCAACATCCCAGTGTCTGAAAGAAGATCCAAAACATACTTTCTCTGAGAAAGAACAATACCTCTGCTTCTACGGGCAACCTCAATCCCAAGAAAGTATCGCAGAAATCCAAGATCCTTCACATCGAAGGCCTTCCCAAGGTCTATCTTGACCTGCGCAGTCCCAGAAACATCATCACCAGTAATAATAATATCATCAACATATACCAGAAGGATGACACACTGTCCAGAAGTATTCCGTCGAATAAAGCAGGTATGATCAGAATGACACCTGGTGAACCCCAATCGTATGACTACATCACTGAAGCGAGAGAACCAGGCTCGTGGCGACTGTTTCAGTCCATAAAGAGACTTACGCAGTCGACATACCTTTCCAGCATACTCCCCCTCACCACGAAAGCCCGGTGGTGCATCCATATAAATAATCTCGTCCAGATCACCGTGAAGAAACGCATTCTTCACATCTAATTGATGAAGAGGCCAAGAGTACTCCGCAGCCAGAGAAATAATTAACCGAACAGTAGTCAATTTTGCCACAGGGGCAAATGTAGCACCAAAATCACGACCTGGTACCTGAGTAAAGCCCTTCGCCACAAGTCTAGCCTTGTAACGATCAATAGTACCATCCGCAAGAAACTTCAGGGTGTAAACCCAGCGACAGCCAACAGGCTTCACCCCTGAAGGTAAGGAGACAAGATCCCATGTATGATTACGCTGAAGAGCGTCCATCTCTGTCTGCATGGCAAGAACCCACTGGGGCTCCCGCATAGCTTCCGAAATAGAGCGAGGAACCAGCGTATCTGATAAGGCCATAGTATAAGCTCGAAATGTGGGAGACAGATTACCATAAGAAACATAAGCAGAGATCGGATATAAAATCTTGGCGGTCCAACCATATCGATCAACTGGACGGCGATCACGCCTTGGATAACGACGCCCTAAATCACCATCCTCTACTGATAATATCTTATCAGGTAAAGTAACTGGCTCAGCACCTGTAATCTCATCAGTACTAACAACAGGTGCATCAATATGCTCAACAAACTGAGAAGTATTACCTGCATCGCCTGAGGTAGAGGGGATATCAGCAGGGTGATGAGAGCGAGGACAACGAGCATACACCTGCAAAGGAAGAGAGACTGGTAACTCTGTACTGACAGGGATGAGTGACTCCTTTGGAGGAAAAACGGATGACCCTGTAGGGATAGTGATCAATGACTCTGACTCTTGTGGTAATGGAAAATCAAAGGGAGTATCATCAACTGGAGGGGCAGACAAAGGACTGAAAGGAAAATAAGGAATATGCTCAAGAAAGGTAACATCTAGACTGTGATACATACGACGCCTAATAGGATCATAACATCGATACCCCTTAGATTGATGACAATAGCCCACAAAGATACAACGAATCGCTTTATCATCAAGTTTATGACGAGTAGGAGACCGATCCTGAACAAAACATGTGCATCCAAAAACACGAGGGGGGACCGGAAAAAGTGTCCGCTCAGGAAATAAGACCTGTAAGGGAGCCTTATGCTGAAGAACACGACTCGGCGTACGATTGCACAGAAAGGTAGAAGTCAAAACAGCAAAATGCCAATAAGATTTTGGTACCCTCATGCCTCTAAGCAGACAACGTACCATCCCTATCAAACTCCTATTTTTCCTCTCAGCAACACCATTTTGCTCAGGAGTATATGGACAAGTGAGTTGCTGAAGGATACCCTGAGAAGAAAGGTGAGACACTAAAGCATCAGACACATATTCTTTGGCATTATCCGAACGAAGAGCACGAACAATGACATCGAATTGTGTCTTAATCATCTGTAAAAACTGAGTGATTATAGGGAGCACATCAGACTTCCTATGCAAAAGGTAGACCCAAGTACAACGGGTATGATCATCTATAAATGTCACATAATATCTGGCACCTGACAGAGCAGTAACGGGAGAGGGTCCCCAAATATCAGAGTGTATTAGGTCAAATGGCTTGGGTGACTGGTGCATGCGAGGAATATAATTGGCCCTAACATGTTTTGATAGGGAACAGATAACGCAATCAAGTTTACCACCAACACAAGCATTACTCAAAGCAGGAAACAACATACATAAATATTTAAAATTTGTATGTCCAAAACGGTCATGCCACAATTGAACAGTTTGTGACGAAAAATCATAACGACAACTACTAGGTAAAATACTAGCATGCAAGCTAGGAACAGAAAAAGACAAAGCAGGTGCAGGTGAAGGAATTGGTGAAACTGGAGATGGATTGCCAAGATAATACAGTCCATCTTTCTCATGTCCCTTGATAATAATCCTCCTGGTACTCAGGTCCTGCAAATAACACGAATCAGATAAGAATACAACCGCACAGTGAAAATCTCTGGCTAACTGATGTACAGATAATAGATTCATGGCCAACTTTGGCGCATGAAAAACCGAATGTAATGTAAGGCCATCTGGGAGACGGACTGTACCCCTACTAACAATAGGGGCATGTGTTCCATCTGCTAACTGAACCTGTGTATGTAATGGCTCGTCAAAAGTGGTGAAGTGATGGGCCTCACCTGTCATGTGACCATTCGCACCCGAGTCCAACATCCAAAGGGGAGATGAACTGGCACAAGCGTGAAAGGCACGAGATATACCTGTAGTGGTGACAGCAACAGTAGTCAGACTCTGAGAAGTCAGAGCAGACATAAGTATATCTAATCGGGAAGTGATAGCATCCATATCACTTTGCCAAGGAGGAGCAGTAGCAGGAGTGGCGGTAGTTGGCGGTGGTACCTCAGCAATAGCAACAGTACGGCTGCGAGAAGGTAGCTTAAGCTCTGGATGGAGCTTCCAGCAAGTAGCCCTGAGATGTCCTGGTCGGCCACAATAATCACATTGACGGGAATCCCCCCGTCTGCGCTGATCTGGGGCGCCCTGACGGCGTTGGTCTGAGAGTTGCCTATCCCTGACTAAGGATCCTGAACGGGACCCTACAGCAGCTGCAAGGGCCATCTGGTCAATCGAAGGAGGCAAAGCTGCAACTGGAAGTGATGCAATACGGACTCGACGCTCATGCTGCTCAATCATCCCATACACCTCATAAAGAGAAGGAAGTGTCAACATCGACAAGATCTGAGAACGAGGTCCCTCAAACTCATCACGAAGCCCCATAAGGAACTTGTGAATCCTATCCTCTTGCTCTCGAGTATGCAAGAATGCTGCTCCCTCGGGCTCTATCTTCGGAATAGCAGCAAGAGGACGTAGAGACTCATACTCAAGCTAGCGCCGGGTCAAATAGCCATAATAATCCTGAACGGTTATATCTCCCTGTCGAGCATATGAGAGCTCCTGAGAAAGCTCATAAACACGAACTCCCCGTCCTGACTGAGAATACATCTCTGATAATGCGTTCCATAGCTTCGGAACAGAGCTATGAAACTGGTGGATCCTGCAAACAGAGGGCTCCATTGAGCCAAATAACCATCCAAGAATGGCACAGTTTTCAGAGAACCATGCAGAATATCCAGGGTCGGCATCAGCTGGCTTTGGGTGAGATCCCGTCAGCCAACCAAGCTTCCCTACACGGCCTAAGAAAAGCTGGAATGAGCGTGACCACTCAGCGAAGTTACGACCATTCAACAACTGTGCCGTAACTTTTTGAGAGATCATGCCTGGTAATGCTGGTAATGCAACTGTGCTAGTAGGCACTGTATACTGGTCAAACATAAAAGTGGAAGTACCCATAGATGTCTCAACGGTA